GTAGACCCGGCCTGCTGCTGCCCAGCTCCTCCAGGCCTGCTCTCATCCTTGGCTCATCGCACAGCAACGCCCTCTTCCAGTCAACCAATAACCGCCAGGCCGGCGTGTCAAAAGCCGGAGACGCCCACTTCCTGGTCTTCCAAGTCTGCATCGTGTATGTCGCTAACGCACCTGTTCGCAATGCATCCTCCGCCGCCCCACCTCCTCCTTCTCTCAATCGAGCGTGCTTGCCTGCTGCCTCTGCCGCCACCAGTGCCTAGGCCCTGGGGGGATCTCTATGCGCGGGAGCAAGCGCCGCGCTCAACAGCACCGCTCCGGGGCCTAGGGTGCCAAACATGCGTTAATAAAATACTTCAAATCGCATCTTTTCGTCATGGGTCTCTCCATTGTGAAATGACATCTGTCCAACTCGAGTATTTGTAAAATGGAAAGGAACAAAATCAAGGGCGGAGCAGAAAAAATTCGATTAAAAAAAAGAAAAGCTCTTGAAGCTGGGGCAGCCAAATGTGCCAAGTTGGTCGTTTTTTTCAATAAAAAGTGCTCCAGCTCCGCTGATGAAGAGGCATCAGACCGCGGTAAGGTAGCAAAAAAAAAAAATGCAAAAACATGACGACATGATTTCCTAAATGATTAGCATTCCGTCAATAAGATTGATTGCTTCTTAGGTCCTCAGCTACAACAATCGGCCATTCATATTAATGAAGAGCCTGATTACTCTCAGGAATGGGCAGGTAAAAACCAATAAGAATATTGCATTTTTAATCAAAATTCACTAAGCCTTTTTCAGGCCATTAATTTATTTATTTCATAACGTCCATCCATCCATCCATAAAGTATATTGCATTAATATAAAATGTTTAACTTCTTTAGTTTGTACATTAGAAAAGTAACAGTTGAATATTTTGTGTGTGTGTCAAAAGATGTGCCAGGACTCAGTAGTATGCTTCCTACTAATATCGCACAACAAGACAAAGGTGAGCAAGATACAAGCATGATTATTGCAGAATTATGCTACAATTTACATGTTGCTATCATTTAATGCAGGTGCCTCTGTAGATGTTGTATGGACAGAGGGAGCTCAGGGAGAGGAAGAGATACAGGGAGAGGAAGAAATGCAGAAAGAGGCATCAAACAACAGACAACAGCAACCTGAAACAGATGATGAGCTGTCTAGTTTCAATTACTTTGCTCGTCCTTCAGACCACGATTTTGATGTTTTTTCTCTTATCACCCTCATCAAAATACTGAACATCCCCTGCCAAAGATTTTTGTTAGAAAGGATGGCAGCAACCGCAGGTGGCTGACTTGTGACCAAAAAAATGCCCTTTACTGTTCCGTGTGCCTTGCATTTGCACCTCATGATGTAAAGAGTCCATTTGTTCAAGGAGGCATGAATGATTGGAAACACATTCACCAGAGGATACAGGAGCATGAAAAAAGTAAAATGCATAGAGATTGTTCTGATGCATACTTTCTAAGATTACAGAAGGACGATATAAAAAGCCTATTGTGTGGCACTCAAATGTCATTACGTGTTTCGCAAGTAAAAAAAAGGCGTGAAGTAATGGAACGTATTGTGGATGTAATCAAAGTCATCGGTAAATGTGGCCTTAGCTACAGATCCAAAGAAGAGGCTGCCTAAAGCTTGGATGATGGTTCACAAAATCATGGAAATGCGCTTGAATTAATCTTACTTTTGAGCAAGTATGACACTGTCCTCCAACAACATGTAAAGACATGTGTGGAAAATAGCAAGAAGCAGCATGAAAGTGGAGCTAAAGGGAGAGGTTCTCTCATCACCCTTATGTCAAAAGACATATTTAATAAAGTCTTGGATGCCATTAGCCAACTGATCAAGAGTGCAATTGCTGAAGAGGTGAGACAGTCGGGCATGTATTCTGTACAGATAGACACCACTCAAGATGTTAGCGCTAAAGATCAGTGCTCCATCATCATTAGCTATGTCACAAATGTCATACATGAACGCCTTATTTCAGTAGTGGACACTGAAACATCAACAGGGAAACATTTTGTTGAGCTTTTAAAAAGAGTGCTGCTTAACCTCAACATTGACATCAGTAACTGCATTGGAAACTCTACTGATGGTGCTGCAAATATGCAGGGGCAATACCGTGGCTTTTCAGCCTTTCTCAGTGAGCATGCTCCAAACCAGGTACATGTGTGGTGTTATGGACATTTGTTGAATCTCGTTCTGGCAGATGCTACTGGCAGTGTTATAGACAGTGCTTCCCTTTTCTCCCTCTTAAATGATGTAGCTGTGTTTGTAAAAGAGTCGTACAAGCGAATGCGAGCATGGGAAAAATACAGCCAGGATGCCAGAAAAAAACGTTTAGGCACAATAGGCCAAACACGATGGTGGGCCAAGGATCAGGCTGTGCGGAAAGTATTTGGTGGGTATGGAGATCCAAAGGAGTCTTTATATGTTGAGACGCTCCTCACACTGGACTCAATTCTTGAAGACAACACACAGATGCCAGTTGTGAGAGCAAAAGCAAGAGGGTTTATTGAAAACCTTTTGAAATATGAAACTGTCCTCACTGCCCAAATCTTCCTACGGATTTTTGAGCAAACAACACCTCTTTCAAAGTATTTACAGACAAAGGGTATGGAGCTCATCACGGCACAGAGGCTGGTTGAGGGCACAGAAGAGGAGCTAAGAAAGTGTTTAAGGGACTTTGATGGCATTAAAAGTGCAGCAGAAAGGTTTGTGGTATGGGCCAATGAGAAGCTTGGAGAGAAGGAATCTGAGCTTTCTGTACAACCTACCCTTTCCCAAAAAAGATGATGCCAGGGGAAAGTGCAGAAGATGAGTACCTATCAGCATATGATTACTACAAAGTGAAGGTTCACAATGTCATTTTAGACACAGTGACTGACAGCATTCATAGGAGGTTCTTTTCTAATGCAAAACTCTGTGCTGATTTTGCGTACTTAGATCCAAGACACTTTCCTAGTATCAAATAAAACAGGCTCCCTGACTCAGCACTGGAAGAGATAAGCAAATGCCTGCTTAAATTTGACAGCAGAACCTCTGGAACATCTTTGCGCACAGAACTTTACAATGTTGCAACACAGTGGGACAGGCTTAAATAGAAATAGAATAGAATAGTCCCCTATAGAAGCATTCACTGTAAGGGAAGCCTGTGAGGACCAAGAAAATTAACAAGGACCAGACGCTGAAGTTGAATTAAAAAAGAAAACATGTTCTTCTTGCAAAAATTGCATCATCTGTGTCCATCTCATTCTATCACAATACAACCTTTTCACTGATGCTTACCATGCCATAGGCCTTGCCTACAAATACTTGCTTACCCTCTCAATTACACAAGTGGCATGTGAGCGAAGTTTCTCCAAATTTATCAAAAGTCGACTCAGAAGCACAATCAGCCAGAAGAGACTAGAAGCATTTATGCTTATGTCTACAGAAAAAGACATCCTTTTGTCATTGGATAATGACATTATCATTAACAAAGTTGCAGAAACAAGTGCACTTCTACGGAGTTTACTTATGTTTTAATGTGCTTCATTTTGTTATTGTTAATTTGGGTTTGTTTGTTTTAAAAAGTGTTCAGTTTGTGTTTTCTCATCTTGATTCAGGTTAACATTGAGATAGGGACAACATTAAAATATGTTAAGATTCATTTTGGTTTGTATCAAGTTGTAGCAAGTACTGTTTATATCTTTATAGGTCTTAGTGTAGTATTTGCATTAGTCTTTCTTTTGGCTTGATAGGAAGATTATCGTTTAATGGTTTCAATTCAATGTATTATAAAAAACAAAATTCAGGCAAATCTTTGAAAATAACAATTAATTGAATAAAAATTGACATGTTCTAAAATTTGTGAACTTTTTTTATATATACATAAGTCAGTCTAAAATTTGCTACAATTCATATTGTGATACCAGAATATTCAAATACAATATTGAAGTATTTTGTGACTAGCACTGAGAAGTATAAAGGGGTTAACAAGAATAATTTGAATAGTACTAGTCTAGTAATTTACAAAACTTGATTTTAGGCCACCTGCTGGTCGTTATGGATATTACAACAGCAGGCAGTTCAGTTATTTTGGCTACCCGCGGTAATGCAGCATGGGTGTGCTGCAGTATAACAGGTTCTTCTTATGCAGAAGAACTTGTTATACTTACGTCTTGTTTAAAGTATAAAACCTGCCATACCGCAATGTATCCTTTCATGAATACTAAGAGGGATGTTTACAGTGTGATGTGAAACAATGAATCTATTTTAAAAATAGTTTTCAATTAAGTAACAAATCACACATCTTTTCTTTTGGTCAAATGTTTAAAATGCCCTATATTCAGGATCTGAACAATAAACCGTTTCAGTGAATGAATAATTATTGTCCAACTAATTGATTATCAAAATAATTGTTATTTCATACTGTAAATAATACATTTTGCACGACAACAGAAAGAGTCTTGTAAAAATAACAAGTCAGACCACAACATGCCTATTAGAAATTTGCTTATCTTTTGTATATATGTAATATGTAACATATCTCTAACCTTTTTCATTTTGAGAACTTACTTTGCTTTTATAAAACAGAAATGGCAGAGGCAGTTGTAATACAATTGTAGTCTATAAAAAAACTGCTGTCACGGAGAACAACATTGATCAGCAATATATCATTATACCGTACTGCATTAATAACAACATATATAGTTAAAATAGACATGTAATTACTAAAGAGCAAGGCAAGGCAAGGCAAGGCAAGTTTATTTGTATAGCACAATTCATACACAAGGCAACTCAAAGTGCTGAACAAGATAGCATTAAAATCATAAATAATCACAGAACATTAAAACGAAAGATAAAAATATAAGGGCCCAGTCAGAAGATGTGTTGGTGGGGTTTGTAAGTTAGGCACCCCAGCTTTAATTTATCAGAGTTAAATATCCAGGCTTTGCGAGAAAAAAATGCGTTTAATTAGTAGTAGTATAGATGGAAGCGGACCTACCGACTGTCTGCGCGGGGACCGAGAGGCGCTGCTCGGGAATGGCGATCATGAGTTGCGTGGAGAGGTCCCAGTCCATCACCAGACGCAGCGCCACGAAGCCCGTGACCAGCCCGGAGGCAAACACCAGCGCGCTCCTGACGTGTTTCATCCTGACTCTGCCTAAGCTGTGAGCGCACACTCTCCTCTCCCCCCCCCCAGGGTGACAGGTGGGTGGACTGAGGGTGAGGAGGATGGTCACGGCGCGTCCCTGCGTCCTGTCCTGCTGATGAGGCGGGGCGTGCGTCGCTTCATACGCCCACATTCATTTCATTTTTCATTTATTTTCATTTATTTTCATTTCGTACATGCGTAGTTACAAGACTTAACCAAACAAGATACTCAGACAAATTGTATATTTAAGTACACAACAGATGCACCAAAATGAATAGTAATTATGTTCAGTTAACATAGAAGTATATGTAAATAAAATAATCGTAATAATATTAATAATACAAATAATACATTGTCTTGTTTCATGTACAAAAGGGAGTGGGAAGAAGTAAAAATGTATTTAATCCCACCCCTAATTTCAAATTACTCTCCCATCCGAGTCGCAAAATTATCATTTACTATTAAAACTTGAACAAAGACAAAAGTAAAATGGAAATATATTATGACACTCTTTTAACTTAATATCAAGACTGTTCTACAATTTTGTTCCACAAACTGAAATACAGAAACTTTTCCTTCTTGTCCTCTCTTTTATGACTTTAAATTCCATTGAATTCCTTGTGTTGTAAGACTTTTTATGCAATGAAAACATTTTTTGAACATTTCGAGGTAATGCATTGTTTTTTAGTAGATCAACAAGATCTTTGAATTTGAGCAACTTCGACTGGAGAAATAGAGGATTTGTATGCTCCCGATAACCCACTCCATGCATGATTCGTATTGCTCTTTTCTGAAGAACGAACAGCGGATGCGTTGTAGTGGTGTAGTTATTTCCTTATACCTCAGCACAATATGTGAGATATGGAAGAAAGAGTGCACAGTACAATATACGAAGTGAGCAATAATCAAAAACAGATTTTGTTCTATACAATAAGGCTATACTTCTGGTCAGTTTTGCTTGAACGTATTTGACATGAGATTTCCAGTTAACTTGTTCATCAATTATTACCCCTAAAAATTTGATTTCCTTAACTCTCTCAATAGTTATGCCATTTAATCTAATTTGAACTTGCATTTCATTCTTGTTGTTGCCAAAAAATAAAAACATTGTTTTCTCCACATTCAAAGATAGCTTATTTACATCAAACCAAACTTTGAATTTTTCCAAGTCTACTGTAATCTTGTTTCAAATCAGGTCCAGAAAAAAAAACATTAGTGTCATCGGCAAACAAAACTAATTTCGCGACCTTTGACACCTTACCTAAATCATTTATATAAAGAATAAACAATTTTGGGCCCAGAACTGAGCCCTGAGGGACTCCACACTTAATTTCCCTCCACAATGAGCAAGCATTCCCCAGTTTAACGTATTGACTCCTTTTACTTAAATAACTCCTTACCCAATCCAATGCAATACCTCTGACCCCATACTTCTCAAGTTTACGAAATAAAATAGAGTGATCAATTGTGTCAAACGCTTTCTTCAGGTCTAAAAATAAACCAATTGTATGATATTTTTGTTCCAATGCATTAGTGAGGTTCTCTGTGGCATCAATCAATGCCATTGATGTTGCTCTGTTGCTACGGAAACCACACTGGTTTTTGCTTAATATATTGTGTCTATCCAAAAAGTTATCAAGACGCTTAATGAAAAGTTTTTCAAGAACTTTTGAAAACTGAGGAAGTAAAGACACTGGCCTATAGTTCGTAAAGAGATGCTTATTGCGTGTTTTGTATAATGGAGTGACTATTGCTATTTTAAATTTTTGTGGATTTAAATGACAAATTACAGATATATGCTAATGGTTTTGAGACTCCTTCAATAACGTTCTTAACTAAAGTCATATCAATATTGTCTACATCTGCTGAGGATTTACTCTTACTGTGGAGAACAATATCAATAATCTCTCTCTCCTCTACCGGATTAAGGAACATTGAATTCAGATTTTGATCAATGTAACAATCGATGGGAGGATTAACTGGTGGGATCTGTTTGGCCAAGTCTGGTCCAACGCCAAAAAAATGTATTAAAATGATCTGCAACATCCTTCATATTGTATCCTTGTTTTCCACAGTAAAGTAATTTGGGTAATTCCCCTGACCAGTTGTATTCTTAACTACTTTATTTAGTATTTTCCAGATTTCCCTTGTGTTATTTTCACTGTTAACCAACAAAGTGTTATAGTATTCTTTCTTAGATTTTCTCAGAATATTAATTAGCTTGTTTTTATATTTTTTATATTTCTGTTCAGACTCAGTGGTCCTTAACTTTATGAATTCCCTGTACAGAGTATTTTTCTTTTTGCAAGCATTTTGCAGACCTTTTGTCATCCATGGCTCACACGGTCTACTTGAGGCCTTTACTTTCTTTAACGGGCAGTTTTTGTCATACAGACTACTAAATGTCTTTATAAATTCATCATATGCACTATTAATGTCAGTCTTATTGTAAATGTTGTTCCAATTTTGTTGCAGTAATTCATATTTAAATGCTGTTATTGTTTCCGCTGTTGATACTCTCTTATACAGTGTAGGCCTGTTTATTTTCTGATTAGTTAAATAGTAATTAGTAAAATTCATGTCATAGATCACTAATATCCGTAATGAGAAGTCCACTAGTAGTACAGTTGAATATGTCATTTGTGAGGATGTTGTCAATTAAAGTTGCACTATTTGCAGTTATCCTAGTCGGTCTAGTGATCTTGGGATGTAAATTCATGCTATAAATAGTGTTTACAAAATGTTCATGTTGTGATTGTCCTGGTTCAGAAGATCAATAGTCAAGTCCCCGCAAATAAATATGGGTTTAGATGTTTTCTCTAAAAACATTTCGACCATCCAACCGCTAAATGAATCAATACAAGAACCCGGTGTCCGGTAAATACAACTTATAATTGTTTTTTTTACCGTCATCTGTTTCAACTTGGATTGACAAACACTCCAACAAATTGTTGATTACAAGCGACATGTTTTCAATAACATTGAACTTTAGACAGTTATGAACAAAAAAAGCAACCCCTCCCCCCCCTTTGCTCTGTCTGTCTTGGTGTATAAATTCATATCCTTCCAACTTAAAATCCGCTCCTTTCACCGTATTTATCCAAGTCTCAGATATTGCAATAATGCTGAAGGGTTGTTCAATTTGAGACAGAAAATACTTAATGTCCAAAAAGTTTGCGTAAAGGCTTCTACTGTTAATGTGGATAATTGACAATTTACCATAACTGTTTGAACTGATTGAATTAAACTGATCACTGGTGAAGTAGCAGCAGCTGTTATTGATAGACGTAAAAAAGATATTTTCCGGGTCTACATCATTTTCCGTCTTGCATACTATGGTCTGTGAAGTGAGACGCTTGTAATTGTGGCAAATTCCTTTCATTTCGATCCTGAACCAGTGTCTCCCCATTGATAGACATTAGGATATTTGGACTAGTCATTTAAAGTCTGCTGATCTGGCCTAATAGGCCTATTCATATTTGTCCAGATCCTCCATCCTTTTAATCATGAGTACTTTTGAGTCTTCTGGTGACCCATTGAGCTTGATAAATATCTTGCAGTTGGAAGTCCAGGTGTTTTGGATCTTTTTCAATTTTGTCAGATATCTTGCTTTTTTGGCGATTTCTGAGTTTTGCTTTGTCAGATTATCATTTACATAGACGTTAGTTCCTTTCAACTTTTTGCCCTCTTTGAGCAGTGCAATTTTGTGTTTCCTGTTCACAAACCTCATGATAATCACTCGATTGCCCGTTACGTTGTCTCTTCTCGGTAGTAAGTGACAAGCTTCAACATTTTCTGGCTCAAAGTTGATTCCTTTGGAGTGAAAGAAAGCGGTAACTTGATCCTCGGTTGAGGTGGCTGCAGTCTCTGCATCAGCCGCATCAGCCTGGACGGAGGACACCGCTCTGGCGTATGAGCTGGGCCGAACCTTGAGTCCCGAAATAACCACGTCATTCATTCTGGAGTATTGCTCGAGATCAGCCACCCTGTTCTCCCGGTATTCAATCTTTTAGTATTTCTCCGCATTCAGAACGCGAAGCGCTTTGACTTCCTCCACTAGTCCCAATATGCTTTCTTGCTTTTTCTTGAGTTTGATTGTCGAGATTTTCCCAGAAACAAATTCCAGAGATTTCTTTACTATTTCCTCGATCTCTTCTGCTGTTATGGCCTTCTTAGGCGGTGCCATTGTGATTGTTGTGGATAGTTGTCAGACTGACAGACTGACAGCACTCGCTGTCAGATTCCGTGTTGACCGGGCGAGGTTGTATTTCAACCCGCATTCACAATCAAAGTCCACACACAAACCAGAAATGGTCCTGTCTAGTAGTGGTTGACATTAAATCCACAATCCAACAATTGTAGATTGAATAACCATTCATTTAACCAGGAAAAATGCCAAACGCCAACATGCAAAGTCCCTCACGCGACTCGACTCGTGTGCCTCGTGTGATTGGCTACAGCTTGAGCAGGTTAGGACGCCGACAGAAAGCCCTAAAAAGACATCTTTCTGCAGGTAATATACATTTTACTCAAAGTTTGGAGAATGCTACACACACCGTTCTCAGTCTGGTGCATCAGTGAATTTATAAAAACAAATAATGAGTCTCCCGCACACAGTTACTTAGCGGGTGACGTTTATTTTTGCTAAATATATTTCATCATGCAATTAAGTTTACATTTTATTTTTGATAAAGTATAAGAATAAGACTACACCCCGCATCTCTTTTCTAAGCAATAAACTCTTCTTACGTACACAGGGTATGTCCACACTTTGTACATCCCTGAGGGAGTGTTTGTTTTGTACTCATGCAAACGCAGACAGCAGCACACAGTTGTCTCATTTATCCATTAACCACTTGCAGTTTGTTAATGCTAATGTTAATGTTTTTCTTTTTTTCAACCTATGCTGCAGCCTGGAGGAGCACCTTCACTGTTGCCTGAGCACCCTAACATCCTGCGGACGGGCAGCAACCGGTGAAGATGGACAACATTAGACTGGACTCTCATCTCATCCCAGACAAGGCAACCTTTGAACTTTTTAAGTCATTTTGTGTTCAACTATCCTAAGATGCTGCTTTAGTCAATCTTTACACATTTATTCAGACCAGAGCAGTGTTCAACATTGATGTGGGGAAAATTAGTCTCCTGGGG